ACCAGTGTACCTGCATAGTAAGGAAAATTGGAAATGTAAGGAGTGGTCCAAGGTCTCCAAACTATCTAATAGTATAGACTCTACCTGGGGAACCCAGGTTACCTTACCCAAGTACGGTCCAGATACATGCAAGGAAACTAGGCATAAGGACTCGGACATAGGCTGCACCTGCCTAACCCAGGTTACCCAGGTACGGTCCAGGTAAGTGCAAGGAAACAACTATATATCTATAAGTGTAAAGAACATACAATCTTATACCTTTTTCAGACATCCCCTGCTGCCAGCTGCTGGTACAAAGAGAGAGAGAGAGAGAGAGAGAGAGAGAGAGAGAGAGAGAGAGAGAGAGAGAGAGAGAGAGAGAGAGAGAGAGAGAGCAGGGAAGTGGAAAGACGAGGACTCCGAGGGGATGGAGGAGAAATCAGCGTATATAAAGAATCATAATCATATATGTACTTGTAATCAATCATAGAGCATATATAGAATCATGCACAACCACATCGCATGTGATGGACAGCTGGGGCCGAGTCCCGCTAGCAGCGTTGAGTTTCCTCAACACCTGAATCTGGACGTGTTTGTGGGGATATGCGGTTGAGGAAACTGAACGCCATTTCTGCACATCTCCACAAACACTTCCAGATTCAGGCGTCGAGGAAACTCGACGCTGCTAGTGGGACTTGGCCCCTGAGCTTCAAAACAATTTTCAACTCTACCACTCCGAATGAAAACCATGAACTGCAGATTCAGTGCAGAAGTCAAAATGAAAACGCCAAGTTGAACCGCCGTTTCCATCACAGCCACGCTGCCCACGCAGTCTTGCTCAGGGTGTTTACCATCAAAAAAAAAAAAAAAAAAAGACCAAAGTTCGAATCCAGCTGCCCTCAGATGAACCGAATAAAATCATTCTGAATTACGTGTGGCCAGTCAGCCCCATTATGATATCTGAAGGCCGTCTCCCCTTTTAAAAATACTTTTTAAAAAGTCAAAAAGTGAAATGTATTTTTGTGAAAATGTGACATGGACGTTGAGCTTGTGGCAGTGATTCCAGATGTCATTGAAGCCCGGATGCCCTTAAACTACCATTTCGTCAAAATGGACATTTTTTATTTTTTGAACGAAATTGAAACAGAGTTTTTTCAACTTTTTTGGCCGAAAACTCTTTCCTGCTCCCGAGGGTCCGGCCTTTTTAAAACGCTGGACCCCCCCGATGTATCAGGACAAAGCTTGAGACCAGATACATCCAGGGGGGACCGCCTGGACGACCCCAGAGTCCCCCCAGACAATGACTCCAACATCACCCCTTGTCAACGCGAAAAAGTCCACACACATCCATTCAACAGGGCAACACGGCGATCAGGATTCAGGACGAACTAAGCTGAGAAGATCAAGTTTTTGTTTTGTTTGACCAAAACTTCAAATTTTCAAGATCATCTACTCTCACGAGTCTCATCACAATTGGCATCATATTAAATTATTAATTTCAATAATAATTTCGCAAATTGCAGAAAAGAAGTCTGGTTAGTCAATCGCCTGGAACTCAGGTGGTCATCATACTTTTTTTTTTTTTTTTTTTTTTTTCGGGGCCATGCTAATCTTCCTTCTCTCTATCACTCCAATTTTAACGGATGTCCCCAAGGACTGGGGGTAATCATACTAATCAATGCTGGCAGGCCCATTCTCATAGTACACCTCAGAGTCTCAGCCAAATCTCCGAAGAAACTTCAAGTTTTCAAAGTGCTGTAAATGCCAAAATGGGACGCTGGACCCGCTTTCCCGCAGGCGAGACGCACCACCAATAGATGGAGTCACTCTTGCGGTGCTTGGGGTGCTCGCGGTGATTGCTCTTAGCCTCTTACCAATGCGGACTAGCACTTGCAAGAGATGTTTAAAAAAAAAAAAAAAAAAGACAGACACAGTCAACGACTGCAGTGGGACAGTGGGAGTCAGTATGTCCGCCTGCGTTTTTTTTTTTTTTTTTTTAATAAGATGCTCAGGTTGTTGTAGAGGCTAGCGACAGGCATATGACAGTCCCTTCAGCACTCTATGTTATGTCCGCGTGCTTTTTTTTTTTTTTTTTTTTTGTTGTTGTTGTTGTGAAGTCTCTATAGCTGGACAGACTAGGATTACGACGGAATGCTGGAGCTGGGCCACCTGAGCTCACCTGGCCTTCCGATCAGATGGCAATGGAGGCTCCTCACCTACAGATTGAAGAAAATATTCAATGGAGTAAAAAGGAGCCTAAGCTGCTGCCTAAGAGGGGAAAATGAACACAACCATTGCACCCTTTTTTGCAGGCAATGGAGGCCCCTCCTTACTGAGGGGCAGTGAGGGCCTTGTTTAAGGAACATGGGCGGTATCATCGGTATGTGCATCCCAATCCCGATCCATTTGCCCAAGGGTTGACCAATTTGTCCCCCGAATAGAACGCGAACGGTGGCTTTGCAGATCCCAATCCCGGTCCCGATCCATTGGTCCAAAGGTTGACCATTTCGTCCCCCGAATAGAACCTACGGTGGCTAATACTGGCCATCATGATGGCTGTATTATGGGTACCTTTCAGGCTAGATACAGCGAAATAATGACCGTGGGCTCTATTCGGGGGACGAGCGTAATAATTGTCATTAGCTTAGTAAGTTAATTAATATGCACGTACGACTTTTTACGAGGAAAACAAAAAGAAAGAATTTCTCCATATTGTAAACAGGGTCATCAATGACTCATCATGGTCATTGGTCATGCATCCCCTCTGAGGCTCTAATGGGGGGCTGGAGGGGGAGAAAACAAAGTTATGTTCGTAGGGGGACCCTGTATAAGCCTTGGAGTAGTGGTAGGTAGGTAGGCAGTGAAGGTGAATTGAAATTGAAAGAATTTGAAAGATGATAAAAGATTTGAGAGAAAAACATGGCATAAATAAACAAAAACGAAGGGTCATCGGCACTCTCGGTACAACCTTTTCTCGCACAACTCAACTACACTGTCAGATGAATTTTACACCCAGGGGAAGATTGGATGGGCAAGCTCTCTTGGTGCTACAGGAAAGATTTGAGAGAAGAATATAGCATAGTTATAGAACAATATAGCAAATAAATAAACAATATAGCAAACAAATAAAAAAAGGGTCATCAGCACTCCCGGTACAACGTTTTTGACCGTTTTTATTTAAATTACTTTCAGTTGCACTTCTGACACGACTCGAGTACTACATAATATGATTTTAATCAAGGCGACGATGGGCCGATGGCTACTGTATACTTTTTTTGCACCCAGAGAAAGATTAGATGGGCAAGTTCTCTTGGTGCTACAGGACTTCTCCGAAGCCATTTGAGATATCAGTCCAACATCGAGGAAGAAATTGGACAAGCGGGCCGCTGCACTGAATTTACGTAAAAAAAAAGAAAACCTGACAAAGCTGACATGATTGTCTGACAAGAAGGAGATTCTCGAATGCTACAGTCTTCCCCCGAATACAACGCACGGACATTATAGCTGAATTTAGACTGCAAAATAGACCAAATTCAGCTATAATGACCGTGCGTTGTATTCGGGGGAAGACTAGCCATACGATCATCCAAGAAGAGTGCGAGTACCTAACCCATCAATAAAACTGACGGCAATTTCTTGATGCGGGTGCAAACAAAAGGAATATTCGTGCACAGATTTGAAGTGTACGCATGCAATGCTCCGCAATTCCCATAAAATGCCGCTATTCCACAGACCACCTTTCAATTAGTTTTTCGGTTTGCATTTTAAAAACGTGTTCAACATCAATGACATGCCCCTGATCTGGTCCCGCAATAATATCCTCCAGGCTCCAGCTCCAGCCAAACGGCGCACCCTTATACCAGTAAAGGAGCAGGATGGGCATGATGTATAGGACATCTTCAGATCTTACCGAGAACGGCACCACGGCAACAAAGATTTAGAGCAGGGAAAAGAGCGTATTGGGCCTCGCTCCACTACACGTAACTCTCGAGAAATGAATGTGCAAAACGAGTGAATCTTTCCCTAGAACATGGAAAGATACGCCGCCGTGATATTTGTCTTTTGTGCATGTCGAGAGTAGTGGAGAGAGTCTCATTGTTGGAACTGAGAAAGGGTATTTCCGCAATATAAAGGGAAAGTACGGTTGCAATAAAAAAAGGCGTTTCTAGCAGCATACCATATCGGCTACTAGGTGATAATAGATATCCCGCCCCGCCCTCGATTCAGCCCGAATAATGGAGAGAGTCTCACCTGTGATAAGACACTTCGAGTGTTTTGTTTTTTCCATTCTTTTTCCATTCGAGAGTAGTGGAGAGAGTCTCACCTGTGATAAGAGACTTCGATTGTTTTGTTTTTTCCATTCGTTTTTTCCTACTTGTCGCCAAGGTCACGGAATAGAAAAGAGAAAGGAAAAGAGACTTCAATTCTTTTTTTTGCTTTTTTAACGAGATATCGATTCTTAGGAATTTCTTCCGATTAATGTATACAGAAACTTAGCATGCGAGAAGCAACCTCATTCCACACGGCACCAAGCAACCGGAACCAGAAAGTGGTTAAATTCACAGAACTTCCGGCACAAAACGATGATACGATGATTTTTTGCGCAAGAATCGAAACACACAACAAGTGAAAAACGGATTGCTTGCAAAGTACCATAAAATACACGCCCACGCTGAATGAAGTATTTCGACGCAGTCTCGAATGCCGCGAACAGGGCTTTGGAGACAAAAACGGACAACATCAGATCAAATTGGGCCAACCTCCTTAAAGAATTGAATAGAAAACGCCTACACCGTAAAATCTATCTCAGGTTTGCAGATAGACAACTGGATGACCAGTACAAAACGGAAATGCAAGAACGAAACCTCGGCCGGTCATGGACATCATTGGCGGGTCGTCTCAAATATGACGATCGCAATGGCATTTGCTGCTGTGCATGCGTGCGTGCGTGCGATGCTGCTTATTCCACTCAATAACCCGAAAATAATTTTTGTTCATTTCTCCTCGCTATTCAGCAAAATGGTCCTTGATGCCGTTCATTGCGTGCGTAAGCGAGATGCTGGTTATTCCACACACCTAAAAAGAATGTTTGTTCATTTGTCCTCAGACTCCTCACTACTCAGCCAACAAGTACGCACTAGGTGGTACTCCTCCGGTGGTACTCCCGCAACACTCCCTCCCCTCACTTTTTCTCTCTGCATGTATCTCCACAGATCCCATCACGGACTAATCTGCTGCCTTGACCGAGCAGCTCGTTGAACAAACAAACAAACAACCATCTAACTTCTGAGCATATACGAGACAAAATCCTTCCGCCCGCCCGATGATGTTCCAGCAGCAGCAGGTCCTTCGCTCCCTCCCTCACAGCTGAGGGCCGGCCGCAAGAATCTCCTCCGTGAGCTTCTTGTCCCCTCCGACGGTGTAGTCCTCAAACTTCTTGAAATTGGCCTTGAACAGCCCGCCGACCTTCTTCAGCGTCGTGTCGAAGAGCTCCTTGTCCGGCCACATGTTTTGCGGCATCAGCACCTCATCGGGCACACCCTCGACATGATCAGGGACGGCAAGACTGAACACGTCCGTCGACGCGTACTTGGCCTGGAGCAGCGAGCCGTCGTGAATGGCGTCGATGATTTTGCGCGTGTGCGGCAGCTTCATCCTGTAGCCCGTGCCGTAGCTCCCCGCCACCCAGCCGGTGTTGACCAGCCACGCAGTGGCGCCGTGCTTCTGCATCTTCTCCGCCAGCATGGACGCGTACTTGGCCGGATGCCAGACGATGAAGGCGGCTCCGAAGCAGGCGGAGAAGGTCGCCTTGGGCTCCTTGACGCCCACCTCCGTGCCGGCCACGAGCGCCGTGTAGCCGCTCATGAAGTGGTACATGGTCTGCGCCAGCGTGAGCTTGCTCACCGGCGGGAGCACGCCGAAGGCGTCGCATGTTAAGAGGATGACGTTGCTCGCGTGCGGGCCCACSCAGGGAATCCTGGCATTGTCGATGTGCTCGATGGGATAGGACGCCCGGGTGTTCTCGGTCACCGACTTGTCCGTGAAGTCCACCACCCGCGTGTGCTCGTCGAAGACGACGTTCTCCAGCACGGTGCCGAAGCGAATCGCGTTCCAGATCTCCGGCTCCTTCTCCTTGGACAGGTCGATGCACTTGGCGTAGCACCCCCCCTCGATGTTGGACACCCCGTTATCGCTCCAGCAGTGCTCGTCGTCGCCGATGAGATACCGGTTCGGATCCGCCGACAAAGTCGTCTTGCCCGTCCCCGACAGCCCGAAGAAGAGCGACACCTGCCCGTCCTTGGACATGTTGCAGCCCGAGTGCAGCGAGAGGATGCCCCTCTTCGGCATCAGGTAGTTCATCAGGCCGAAGAGGCCCTTCTTCATCTCGCCGGCGTACTGCGAGCCCAGGATGACCATCTCCCGCCTCTTCAGGTGGATGTCGATGGTGGTGGACGACGTCATGTAGTGCGTGAAGCGGTTGCACGGGAAGCGCCCGGCGTTGTAGATCGTGAACTCCGGCTCGAAATCCTCCAGCTCCTCGGGGCTCGGCCGGATGCACATGTTGTGCATGAAGAGCGAGTGGTACGGGCGCGCCGTGATGATGCGCACCTTGATCCTGTTCTGCGGGTCCCAGTTCAGGAACTGGTCGTTCACGTACACCTTGTCCAACGAGTTGAGATAGTCAACGGCCCTCTCCCGGTTGACCAGGAACGTCGCCTCGTCCATCTCGATGTTCGGCGACCCCTCCCCCCACCAGATATCGGCCTGCGTCTCGTCCTCCTTCACCACGCGCTTGTCCTTTGGAGAACGACCCGTCTTCGCTCCGGAGAGCGTGGCCAACGCGCCGGTGGACGTGATGTGCGACCCCTGCTCGTACTTGATCGCCTCCTCGTACAGCTCCCCGGGAGAGAGGTTGTACAGCACGTGAGCGACCTTCAGGTCGGTGTCGCTCAGCAACGAGCGCGGCCGTTGACCGACGGCTTTGCCGTCGGAGATGGACGCCATCGACTTGCTGATCGACTGCGCTGGAGGAACGACCTTCTCCGACGTTGCCGCCTTCTGCAGCGCGTGGAGCTCCTCCACATTCTTGGCCTTCACCGGCGGATGGATGTCCCCGTACGTCTCATGATGGGGAACAACCTCAACGCCATCGGAGGCACCATTCGCTGCGTCCGCCATGATCACGAACTTGAAAATCGACCGGAAGAGAAGATGCCCAAGGATCCGCAGCGGACTGCCGCGATAGCTCCCGACGCCAAAGAAGCTGCAGAAGTGCACAGCGGAGGCGAAGAAAATCCCGCAACGACAACTCCGCTGTCAACCACAGGACAGAACTYGCTGATCCTACGGTGCTGAYGGGGAAAATAGCGTCTAGCATCTATATATATATATATGTGTGTGTGTATATATGTTGCCGCCTTGTTGAAACGTAGGGCTCGCGCAGTGCAGTCTCCATCTTCTGAWACGCACACCTCTCCTCGGAGCTTGATTGCGAAATTGGCGGGTGAAAGGGCGGGCACTCCGCCGGACCGCCGTGGCGGCTGAGGGCGTACTTGCAACAGGCCCCTTCCGCCGAATCCGGGCTACATTCATCCTCCGATACATCCCTCAGGTGTGCGTTCCTTTTTTTCTTTTTTTAAAGAAAAGAGGTGTGCGTTCAGAGACCCGAACCCGGATGTGCATGGCGGCTGATGTGTCAGGGCATACGGCCTCGCTCCACCACTCTCGAAATTTGCAAAATAAGATTGAATCTTTCGCTAGAACATGGAAAGATCCACCGCCATGATTTTTGTCTTTTGTGCATGTCGAGAGTAGTGGAGCGAGGTCCGTAGCCACACCACTATGGATACGAAACGATTTTCATTTGTTTTTCAAACGAAAACAATTCAGGTGCATTGAATTGTTTTCGTTTGAAAGAAGGGGCCTCGCTCCACTACTCACAGATGTGCAAAATAAGACTGAATCCTCCGTTAGAACATGGAAAGATGCATTGCCTTTTTATTTGTCTTTTGCGCATGTGGAGAGTAGTGGAGCGACACCACTGTCGAAATGTGCAAACTGAGAATGAACTTCCGTCCAGAACATGGGCAGATGCACTCGCCACATTTTTGTCCTTTTCACATTTCGAGAGTGATGTGGTCGCTCCACTACTCGCCACATGCACGAAAGACAAAAAATACGGCGGCGTATCGTCCCGTTTTTTAGCTGAAGATTCAGTCTCATTTTGCACACTTAGGGTCAGATCCCACTACCCTGGATTATTCCGTTTCCACCCTCGATTACGAAGATCAACGGTCAGAAATGAACAATAGGGGCTGTGGGATCTGGCCCGTAGAAAGTCGCCCATAGTAACGGATGCATCGTGCGGCGTTCTGAGGAAGATGCACTCGTCCTCTTCTTGGCTTCGACAGTGATGTGGCGATGCCGTCCTTATGATCCGATGCATCCGCGGAGGTCTGTGGTGCCCGCCACTGCCTCCTGATCTCGGGTACTACGCAGGTCGTGCCGTCCTTATGATCCGATGCATCCGCGGAGGTCTGTGGTGCCCGCCACTGCCTCCTGATCTCGGGTACTACGCAGGTCGTCTTGAGCTGAAACCCTTCACCGGCAGTTTCCTGTATGCATTTGACTTCAGATATGACCAGATTCCGTTGGGAAAGTCCCGATGAGCTGTACCCTGTTGAGGGGGGCAGTGAGCGGGAGAGTTAGCCCACCTTTCCTTCAGATATGACCAGATTCCTGTATGCATTTGACTTCAGATATGACCAGATTCCGGGTTGAATTGTGAGGTCCCCGGCCTCCTCTTTCCTTKTTTTTTTTTTTTTTTTTTTTTTTTTTGGATGTTGTCTTTATGATATTAAATAATATGGACTGGGTCCGGGGACCCCACAATTCAACCCGGATTGCTGGAAACCAGGTCCAGCGTCCTCGAAGTCTGGGAAAGAAGTAACGGACTGGAAATCAGGTCCAGTGTCCTTTCCAATTCTTCTAAACATAGAGAACCTCTCAGAGGCCGTCTGGTAGTCTGATGAGTTCTGGTCCCCTATGTTGGTCAGGTACTCTAGGTGGGAGAAGACTAGCTCTATTCTAATTACCTTTACTCAAAATCTTCAATAGCTACTGTGGATAAATAGTTGGTAGTTTCCTCCCACAAATGTCGGGAAATAACCAGGTTGCCCTGCTGAGAAAATGAGACCCATTTAAAATCCTCATTCCATCTTGAAATAAAACTGAGCTGCGCTGTCTTCCTCTGATCTGAAGACCCACGCAGCTTCCTCCATTCTGCACACATGAGGTTGCGCACTGCGAATTTAAATTTGTTGCGGATTGCCGAAGGGGACCAGAATTTTGCCTTAAATCTTCTGTCCCTCCTGGCTAGCCACAGGATCCAAAAACCCAGCGCTCTTAACTTGATAGCAATTCTGGATTGGTTATCCAATTGGTTACTCCCTATCATAATAAACTCTTTAGTCCATATCTTCCTTGGGCCGTATGCGAAAAACCATAGGGAGTCCACCCAATCCCAAAATCCTCTGGCCACAACACACTCCCATCGCAAGTGCCTTGAGTCCTCCAAACATTCATGAGGGCAGACATGGCACAGTGGGGAGATGTCCATCCCTCTCTTGGTGCACCAATCCGCTGTCGGTACGCTAGAATGCATGTGTAGCCACTGGAGCCCAGCGACTTTAACTTCCATAATACTGAGAACCATAGACATGAACAACTCCGCCCACTTTCTGCTGAGGGATGGCCATTCAGAGACTGGATTTTTCGACTTCCAGGTGTTCCAGGTATTGGCCTGTAGTGTGGATGCTTTCGATCTCAGCGAGTAACCCAATTTGGATGAGTAATCTTTGATCAGCACTGTGGAGTTGGCTGCCGATTCTGCTGAGATTACCCATCCTACCCTTAGCGCATCTACTTTTCAGTGCTTGTAGGGGGTACCTCCCAGAACTGGTAGGAATGTCTTGCTGCCCTTGTACCTCTGCTCAACGATCTTTATCTCTTCCCACTCACCTTTTGCGGGTGGGGTAATCGTGTTCTGCTGCTTGGTAAGGCATTCCTTACCCTGGGACCATACTGATGCTATCACGGGCTGCTGGTCCTCCGCAGTTTCAATCTTGAATACTCGCTCCTTTTTGCCCGACTCTCGCCACCAAGTGTCCTTCTGCCATTTGGTCCTCTGTGCTCTCAGACTGTTGATCCACTCCTGTGGTATTGCCTGCTGCAAACTTTCCAGGTTCTTATCAATGTTCCTCAATCCAGTCAACTTGTGATTGAGCTGCTCCACTGTTTTCCATTGGCCATTGTGCTCCTCAACCAGGTGGCGGATCTGCCATACCCCCCGCTGCATCAATTTCTTGGCAAAATTCCCAGTTCTGTTTGCAACGGAAAAGGGGGACCCATGGTCATTTCTGATGGCAGGGTTGTCGAATAGGCAGGTGCCAAGGATTTCTCCTTTAGTCTTTGGGTGGGATACTGTGTACGGTAGGATTCTACTCCATGCTTTCAGGATGGGGGACCAAGTAGGGGATTTTACTGATGAAACAAGGGGGTGGAGGAGTAGAGCCTGCCAGACAGACTCTGGATCAGTCAGATCCCAATCCTTGCATAGTATAGTCTGCGCAAGAATCATTCACGACTGATTTGCCTCCGAGGTGAGAAGTTTAACCGGCCATTTTGCCAACAGTGCGTCATTCTGGAACTCAGGGTCCAGGAGACCCAGACCCCCATGAGATTTTTTTTCAATTAGTTTCCACCATGCCACTTTGCTTATGCATGCGGGGACATTAGAGTCCCCCTTCCAAATATAGCGAGTGAGTAGCTGTCTAATCAGCCTTGCTGAACTCGGGCTAATTGCTATGATGGATAAGGTGTACCACATTGTTGACAGTATGGCACAGTTGGCGATCAGGGCCCTTTCGAAGAGGGATGAGCCTGAACGTTTGGACCTCCTAGTGCATTCGTCCCTGATCCAGCTCTCTAGGATGCTAGCCTGTGCGTCTTTGCAGTCCCCGAAGGAGACTAAGACCCCAAGGTAACGTTCTGAGTCCGTGTTCGCTGTGGATTTAATGCCAAGGTCTATTGCCAAACTCGCGTTATTAGCTGTGAGGGTCGTGGATTTGTTCCAACCAATCTTCATTTCCGATGCGGTCTCATAGGTTGAGAGACACTGCTTGAGGGCAGAAAGAGAGGCCCTAGAGTTTTCTGTGATTGCAGAAAAATCGTCAGCCAATGCTGAGATCTTTAATTCGTACTGAGGGGAGACCCTCAACCCTCGGTAATCTTTATGCGACCGGATCATATTCAAGAGGACTTCTATTTGAATGACGAACAAGGATGGGGCTAGGGGGCATCCTTGCCTTAGGGATCTGGTAACAGTGAAGGAGCTGGATATGAAACCATTCACCACTATCCTCCCATGAGAACCGTGGTAAAGTGCTTTAACCCAAGAATTGAAGTTACGTCCCAGGCCAATTCTTTGCAGGACTGTTTTGACAAATCTCCAATTTACCCTATCGTATGTTTTTTCAAAGTCAATTAGGATAATCGTTGTATTAGAGTCCTTATAATTAATAATATCGATCGCTTGTGAGACTGTAATAACATTATCTAAGACGAGCCTGCCCGGGACAAAGCGAGACTGGTCCGGGGCTACTAGTCTGTTCATGAAGGGTGTCAGTCTTCTAGAGAGTGTCTTGGCTAATATTTTACCTGCTACATTAAGAAGGGAGATTGGGCGGTAATTTCTAACATGTGCCCGGTCTCCTTTCTTACATAGAAGGGCCATGACACCTTTCGTCGTTCTTTCCCCCAAATTCTTATTTATTAAGATGTTATTAAATATTCGGAGTAGATCTGGGCCCAATAGGGGCCAAAAGTTATCAAAAAATTCAACGGGAAAACCGTCCGGGCCAGGGCATTTCCCCCTGGCCGTACTTTTCATAGCTGCTGTTAATTCCGGTAGTGTAATGGGCTGGTCCAATTCTTCATGTTCTTCAGTTGAAATTAATTGGTTAGTAGAGTCCCATAGGAGGTGTTCCAACTCGGGGGGGACCAGAGGTTCTAAATGATATTTTTCTGTCGTAAGCAACTTCTCATAGAATAGCCTCCCATAGTTGCTAATAGTGGCTGAGTCCTGTGCCTTGGGGGCTGAAGGTGTGAAGGGGTGTGTTAATTCCTTTATAGTCAAGGAGGAATTGCTCTCTCTTTTGACTGCAAAGGTCTTGCTGTTCGTCCGGTCTTTAGATATAATATCCTCAACTAGTCTGAAGCGGGACCATGATTCATGCCTGGAGATTTGCAGATCTCTCCATTCCTGAAGC